ACTCATTTGTTTTATGTAGATGATATGTTTCTATTCACGAATGGCTCTAGATAGTTAATTCTTCATCTTAGAAAATTGATTATAGAGTATGAGGAGTCTTCAAGTCGGTTATTGAATGTATCCAAGAGTGGGTTTTGTACCTCGAAGAAAATGCCTAGTCATTGGATTGCTTTACTCAAAGCATGGACAAGGTGTAACCACTTAAGTTTTCCCATTAATTACCTTGGAGTGTCCTTATTTTATGGTTGGATAAAATATAGTTATTTGTAGTATATAGAAAAGTCCTTGACAAGTAGGATATGATGGTGGAAATCTAAATATGTATCTCTTTAGAGCCCGAATTACACTTTTGAAAGCGATGCTAAGTAGTATTACTATCCATATTGTTTCTGCTTATCTTTTTGTCGAAAACGATAATCCATAGTCTTGAATAGATTATTGCTAACGTTTTATGAAGCTTGAAAAGTAAGTTTAGGCGAGAATTGGGTGTTTTGGGATAGGGTGTGTCGACCTTTGTTAGAGAGTGGTTTGCGTATTCGTAGTTTGTCCCGGGTTATGGACGTTTTAAAGGCTAAACTGGCTTGGTCATTCCTTTAAGGTCATAGCTTATAGGCTAAGATCATGAAAGCTAAATATGCCTCTACTCCTCAATATTGTTCTTATTCCTCATACATTTGGAAGGCTATTTTCAACCACTTTACTATCTTAGAAGGTTGTAATTCTTAGATTGTGGGTACGGGTTCAATCCCATTTTTGAGGTCTAATTGGTGTGGAACCGTATTGAATCCCCTCTACTATTGGACTATAATCTATCAATAAAGGAGGTTTTTCATGTTTAGATTATTTCTTTCCTTTCATTCCCTCTCAATACCATGATTCTGTGAAGGTTATTCAATTGGAAGAGTAGTTAGAGGATAAGATGGTTTTCAACTTATCTAAGATAGGTAATTTTGAATCCAAATCTTATTAGAATCATTGTAGACAACATCATCCATGGGTTTGGTAGGCTAAATTAGTTTGGCATTCTTGTATTCCCTTTAAAGTAGGAGGTTTCATTTGGAAGTGGTTCCGTAAGGCTTTTCTAGCGACTCCGGATTAAGGAATTGACCATTCCTATGGTCTCCATATGGAGCTATTATGTGCCATTTAGAGAGGAGTCGATTGATCATCTCTTTTTGTAGTTAGAAGCTAGCTCTATAGTTTGGGCTAGATTTGTGCCTTATTTTGATATAAGGAGCACTTATGCTTCTTTTTCTAATCTCTTTCATACCCGGATGCCTTCCACCTCGACACAAATAGGTATGTGTCGAGTAGCTACCCTTTTCTTTTCCCTTTGGAAGTATAGAAACATTGGTGCAAGACAAGATTCGACGAGATTCTTATGTCTGCTAATGCCATTTTTGATCGTGTATGTCATCATCTTTCCGATATATGTACGATTTTTAATCCTAAATCTTTGTCTAGTGTTTCTTCGAGTGAAGAGACTTTAAGCTCTAGGTTTGTCGATCCTATTATTGCCTTTTGACGAGAGGTAAATAGCTTTGTTAGCTACCACCCGTGGATGATCACTATAAACTTAATATGGATGGATCTTTTATAAATGGTTTTTGCACTATTGGTGGTGTTATCCATAACTCGGGAGGGCAATTCATGGCGGCATTTGCAAATAACTATGCACGGATATAAATACAAGAGTAGAACCGCTAGCTTTTTGTGATGGTCTTCTTTTTTGCCAAGAACTTTCTCTTAATAATGTTTTTGTGAAAGTTGATTCGAAGCAAGTGGTCCAAGCTATTTTAGGGCTCTCCTCCTTGCCTTGGATCTATAGTCAACATGTGAGACGTTCGCCTCTTTAGTTTTGAGACATTCCCTTACTCAAATGTATCGAGAGCAAAATATTGTAGCAGATATGGTAGCTTATCATGCACATTTTCTTCAAGATAAAAGTAATTATTTTTCCTTTTCTACTTTACCTTTAGAGGTCAAATGGTCTCTTAGACTCGATAGATTTGGGTTCTATAATTATAGAAGTTGAGGTAGTTTTATTTTCTTTTATAGTAAGAGTTTGTTGTTTAGGATTTTAGGCCTTTTTGTCCCTCCCAGTTTGTTTGGGTAAGGTTGGATTGTCCCTCCTTATATTTTTTTATCTTTAATTAATAAAATTTGCTAGTGGTTCTACCCCTGTTTTTCAAAAAAAAATCATAAAGTTACAATGATATCAATAATAATAATTAGAAAAACAATCACATCCATTCAATCAATTTTATTAAAAAAAAAAAAATTATCAAGAGGTTCATGAACTGAGTTATTATTTTGAGAAAAGATTTATTTTTTGATTTTTTTAGACATATGTCAACATGTTGTGATTTTGTTACATGAGGATAGATTGTTTGACTTGTATGGTGTAAAAGGAGTTACATTGACATATTTGGTTTTGTAAAGATTTTTTTTTAAAATATTGATTTTGTAAGTATTGAACTATTGTTTTTATGTTATTAAAAAAATAATAATATGAGAAAAAAAATTCAAAATCAAAGTAAAAACATTTCATATATTTCAGATAATATGAGAATCTTGACTAAGTTTACTATTTGACATATAGAGACTAAATTGGAAAAAAAATCATTAGGATGATGAAAAAAAATCAATTAAAGATATAAAGGGATCAAAGTGAATTTTTCAAAAATTTCAAATACCAAAATGTATATTAACAAAAAATTTCATATTGCCACGTATCAATGCAAACTAACAGAAGGATGTAATGATAACAAAAATATAACTTCATGAATGATATTAAGAAAAAAAAATAAATGATTTTTTAAACAATAAATGAAAAGTATAGAGATGTAGGAAATTAAACATTAAGTCTATTTTATAATATATGCATCAATAGCTTAAGTACTGTGAAGGTTCCAATATAAATCAATTTGGCTTCCCTTGATGATAATATATCCTCCATTCATTAAATAATAATAATGTAGATGTTAAAAGCAGTTGCTTTTTTTTTTTCCCAAAAAGAATGGAATTAGGATAAAGTTATGTGGCTTATGACAAATTTCTATGCATCACTACTCACTACTTCTACAGCAAACTTTCTCCTACTTCTCATGGCTGGTATCTCAATTTACTCAGCATGTCTACTGTAATCTGCACCGTTCACATCAGCAAGGACTCATCCATCTACACCGTTGATATGCAACTGCACCGCCACTAAACTCAAAAAGCAAAAGTACAGAATCCTTTGTCTTCTTCTGCCAAACCGAAAAACAAAACGGACATACAAAACGACAACAAAAATAGCCAACGACACCGCCACTTCAGTGTCGTCACTGCGGGAATTAGAATACTCAAACGACACTACAGCCACTTGATCATATCCATTTTTTAATCAGCACGTATTAACCGTACACGTGGGTCATATGCTTTGTCAGCTGATGACGCGGTCTAATGTTGTTTAATCTTTTTAAAAAATAATCTGATCGGACGGTTAAAGTAGATGGAAATGGGACACTTGGGAACCATGCTTGATTAGCGGTCAACTCTAAGGTCTTGTTATCATCATGCATGGTTTTATTTTCTTATTTATTTATTTAGATCGCCACTGTGCACGTCCGAGATTCAGTACAATTTTTTTTTCTATTTGTTTTCTAAAAAACAATATAATAGAGAAATCATATCAGCACTCTACCTCACTGGTTTGTCACGTAAAATTATAAATAATTTAATTCATAACTCAGCAGAATATTTCACATATATATATAAAACAATGTTTGAACGGATTCATGGTTAATATACTTATTTCCCATAGTAAAATTTTAATAGGGTAGTAATTTTTTTTTTTGGGTATAATTAGGAGTATTTTCAAACAAGTTTATATGATAATTAATTAGTCCTTTTCATTTTAAAAACTAATTTTTAATCCTCATCTTTTGAAATCTACTTATAATTTAGTCATTTTTTTAATTTATTTTGATTTTTTGTTTTTTTTAAGAAAAAAATATGAAAAGATTGATGAGAAAATAAAAAAATTATAGAATAAAAATAATATTAAATTAAGCACTACTAACATTAATTAAATAATACTTTTTAACATGAGAGAAATTAATTTATTTATTTCTAAAAACTAGAGGGAGTTATTTATAATTTATTGGGAGAAGAAATGATGTGTTTTTTTTTTTTTTTTTCCCTGTAAACTCAACAAAATATGTGGTAATCGTTCCGTGCCTCGAACTCAACACTATCGGTCCTTGAGTTTTAATACCATAAATTTATGGGCCCTTTTCAATCCCTTTCTTTCTTATTTATTTATTTATTTATTTATTTTTTAAGATAAGGGAGCGAAAATTTTTGATAAGGAATTTTCAAAAACCTTTCCTTGAAGATGACCCTTCTGTTTTTTTTTTTTTTTTTTTTGGCTTATTTTAATTCAAAAGGTTGTTTTCCTTTGGTTTTCAAAATTGACAATCTTTGTCATTCAAATTTAACCCTCAACAGAAATGTTGTTTACTATATAAACAAGATGTGAAATATTAGTACATATATTTTGACCCATCAAAATGAACAAATTAAAGTCACATAATCCTTACCCAATGACTTGTCGAAAGAAAAGTCCATACCATATTCATGAAGAAGAATTCATTGTATTCACATCAGAAGACTTGTACTTGCCATAAGAAATGACGAGTATGGCTACCTAATCCATTTTCCTTGCATCCGTGAGATTAATTAAGCCACGTTAAAGAGTGATTGGTTCATCCCATTTCTTACCTGCCCAATCCTATTTTAATATTTCTGAACATATTTCACTCCTAGACAGAAAGAGAGACATGAAGAGAGACAACTCATGAGGCAAGTGATGACATTGCTTGACATGACAAAAACAACCCTAAATCTTTAATATCGGTTAATTAAGAGAGAAAGAGACAAATATTTAGGACTAGCATCAAAAAGCCTAGAGTCTATAAAGATTGATAGAGAGAGAGGCAAAAGGGGGGCAGGGAATGGATGTGAGAAAAATAGTGGTAGTAGTAGAAGATGTAGAAGCAGCAAGAACAGCCCTTCAGTGGGCTCTCCACAACTTGCTTCGTTATGGTGATTTGATAACTCTCCTTCATGTATTCTCTCCTGCTATAAACTCATCAAGAAGCAAGAAGAAGACAAGGCTACTTCGCTTGAAAGGCTTTCAATTGGCTCTATCATTCAAAGATATATGCAGTTACAACAGCTTCTTTAATGTAGAAAAATCTTTTCTATGCATATATTTTGTTTAATTACATGTTTTTGAGTTATTTAATTATGTGAGTAATACAGCAATTGATACGATGCTAATCAGAGACTCATGTTGCACAGACAAACGTTGAGATTATTGTAACTCAAGGCGATCGAGAGGGTAGAAGGATTGCTGCTATGGTGAGAGAGATTGGTGCCTCTGCACTTGTTGTGGGACTCCATGAACAGAGCTTTCTATACAAGTAAGCTCGGTTTTAAATTTCCTTCCTTTTTGTTTTTGAAAACTTATGATCATGGTTTTTCTTCTCAAACAAATGATTTTCGTAATGATGGCCATGATCATGAAATGAAATCATATGTAGTAAAATTCAACATTGAGCTTATTGAGAAGATACAGGAGTTGGTCAACTGGCTGATGATTGATGGGTCTTTAATTAGGTATTTTAATTTCTTACTCATTACAAAATTCAAGTTTACCTATAGCCTAGCCTACTACATGGTGGTTGGTTTTAATTTAATCCCTTTTTATGAATTCCAAATCAAAACTTGAGGATTTGTTTTAGTTTTTAGCAATCAAATGTGTTAGCTTGAGAGTGAAGTTGGCCATAAAATATAATACTAGCCCAGGGCAAATACAGCATCTCTGCTGGGGCATGTGCAATGTCCATGGTGGGGAAAGGGCTAAAAGTTTCTGGGATCCACTTGGAAATGGTCATTTGGCAGATGTCAGTTTGCCTGTGGTTGCTGACTCTGGAGCCTCTGACTGGATTGCTTTCTCCTAAGAACACTTCACAATAAGGTTTCTTGTCAACATCTGAAAACCTCTCAATCAAGTGGCTCAAAATGATAGAAAATCGTTACATTTCTGATCCCAACACTAGATTTCTTAGCAACTTGTGATCAAGTCCTAATGGATGTTTCTGTTAAATTACTAAGGCGAATTCAAATTTAAGGTTCTCATCGATTAATGGCAACTAGGATGACTTGAATCCAAATACTTAATTCTGACACAAGTACTGGTTCAAAGTTCAAATATTTAATGACCAAAGTTTTATTAGGTTTCAAACTGAATGACTGCAAGCCAATTCTGCCAATTGATGATGTTATGTTCTGTGCAATAAATGAACCTACAACTCATTAAAAACACCTTTGCATTTTATGCTTCATATAATTACTCATTCTATGTATGTGGAGTTCATCGAGTTGTATACATCCAAATCAACATCCCTACTAAGAGAGTTATTATAATTAATACCTCATCAATCCCCATCCCAAAAACCTTATTAAGAGAGAAAAAAAAAGAGTGAATGGATTGGATTAATATATTCTATCTTTCACACTTACGTATGTTCTCACATTTAGGTTTGAATACGATTAATTGTTAATTTCTCAATTGAATCTCCTATTGACTTTACATATATTTAGATTTCTCACCAAAAGTCTTTTGAAGTTTGAACCTTTGTTACGCAATATCCTACTGTATAAAATCTTTGAAGGCATTGGTTCTTGCAAACTTCGCACGTTGGGTGCATAACCAAAGGAAATAATAGAAACTCGTGGCAATGTTTTCTGCTCTTGTTGCTAGGTTGGCAATGGCCCACAACAATATTGCAAACAGCTTCAATTGCAAAGTACTAGCCATCAAACCACCAACATTGTCACCATTTAGGTCGACCAGTAACCGGACCAGTGCAACACCAACTCCTGACATTTCAACCATCATGGACTTCTCGCAGATCGAGATCGGTAGACCATTACGGTAAGATATATTGCTCTAGTTTTCCAATGCATAATTCCCCTGCTCCTCCATCAGTTACAATGTCTTTTTTGTCATCATAATGACCAAGATACCATATAGGGATGGCAATGGGATGGGACGGAGTGGGGTTTGCCATCCCCGTCCCTGCCTTGCTATTAAAAATTTTTACTCTATCTCTGCCTGTGCTTCGAACAGAGTAAAATTTTTCATATTATTAATGGGGATGGGGATCCTCACAGGATATTAGTTAAGTAAACTGGGTAAAAGTTATCAATTTTTTTTTAACCTCATCTTACTTCATTATACTATCAAATTTGAAATTATAATAAAAAAATAATAATTTATATAAAAAAATAAACTCTAAAAAATCATTAATCACATATTTTATATAGACTTTAATTATAATTTTAATAAAAAAAATTTAAGGGCAAATGGGACAAATAGAGCGAAACAGATAAATACTATTTTCGTCCCATCTTCACTCACGGGACACCCCGCCTCGTCTCGTTTCAATTTTTTTCAATCAACATAGAAAATCCTTGTATTGATCAAGAAAAATCAGGACAGGAAGGAGCAAATCGTGGTCCCTGATACCATGAAAAAGAAATAACAAGTAGGGAATAGATAAATAAATGAATCCTACTTAAATAAATGAAGAAAGAGAGAGCGAAAGAGAGTAATACAATAATGGAATCTTTCCCTGGTATTTTGAACTATCCATGTTGACATGCAGGGTTCCAGATGTTGCTCCACCAAAAGTTCCATACAAAATCTGTCCAGATCCATCTGCAATAATATGGAGGTCGAGAAAGTCAAAGAGAAAGGGCAGCTCATGAATTAGCAGGCTAAATTTGATGACGTTTCTCAAATGCACAGTTACAGCTAATTAATTCCATTATTAGCTGCAACAATTTTTGGGCATAAGGGTTATAGCACTTCGGTTTTAGCATTTTAACCTGTCTCTCTCTCACACACACGCTGAAATATACAAATGGAAATAGTGGATTTGACTACATAAAGTTATTTTGATTTTACAGGAATCATGATCAAGTTGTGAAAATTTTGGCCCTTAATTTATTGTTGCCTTTGCACAAACATTTACAGCTTGTTTCAAACCAATTCCATACTAAATTTGATTTCAACTATTTAAATAGATTGAATTGATTTGATTTGCTAGTGAAATTTTTTATATTTAGTAAAATTATGAAATTTATTTGAATTAAATTAGTACAAATACATCATTTACCTGACTCGCCCTCATGCCAAAAAAAACTTCTTCCAAGGATATGTGAGAGAGAGAGAGAGGAAGGAAGTTGGGAGAAGGATGTTAATTTTTAATAGGGATTTGCAAATCTACAAATAATAATAATAATAATAATAAATAAATAAATTTAGTTTTGGTTAGTTGTAGAATTCGTTTATGTTACGTAGAAACTTTTCAAACACTAGAATTGGGTAGATGGTGTTGAATTGATTTTATTCTTACCCAATTCTAAAATTTCAAACAGCCTGCTACTGAAACACATAAAGCATCATCAAGAATATATTCTTCTCCTTGAGCACCAAAAAAAAACAAAAATGTAGAAGAAGGAGGAGGAGGGGTTGCATTTCTCTCTTCCCAACTACATGGGCCAATGTGCCTTCTGTTAAATCAACTTAATGGGAACTGTGCATTGAGTAATTAAATTTTATAGCATTCGGGGATTAGTTTGAGTGTTCTTGGAAAAATTAAGGGTCCAATGTAGAGGGCTATCTGTTCCACATGGATATGTATTAAATACTAGCCTCAGGCGATAAAACAACCTTTAAAACTTTAAACTTTTTCTTTTTTAGAATCTTTAAATTTTTAACTTGATTTGATTTAAACCTCTTTTCAAAAACTTTTGAGTTTAGATTCCTAACCTATGCTATAATTTGATTTAGTCCCTCTTTCAATTGTGTTCTCTTTTGATCAATGGGCTTTTAGCACATTAATAGCGGCTTCTTGGTAGATACCAAGAGATCTCATATTTAAGTTCTTAAAATATATTAGGAATTTATAGACGAATGTGGAAAAAAAATTCTTTTTAATTATTTCTTACGGCTATGAACTGAAAACTTACCACAAATTAAGGACCACAGTAGAAATATTCTTTAGAATTTTAAAACAATTGGCAAGGAGAGAACTATAAAACAACAACCATGATTAACTCGATCATAAAGATTTTACGTAATTTGATAACTTAATTCTACACAAACTAAGGACTATAATTATATTTGAAAAGTATGGACGAATGTGGACTATAGCAGAGATAATGCTCTGAATTATACTGGTACGTATGCTGAACATAAGACATACGCTCTTTCTGATCCTTTAGAGTTTTTGGTGACAAAGCTACAGGTAACCCAAAAAGGAGTTGTTAGTGGAGTACTCATTGGCTTACGGTATTGCATACCCAAATACCCGTAAGAGTCTTCTTAAGCTACTTCACTTATAAAAAAGTATAGCCTATCAGCGTTTCGATTCTTAAGAATCTCCATATCCAAAATTGTTTTAGTTGCACCCAAATATTTTATCTCAAACTCGCCGCTCAATTCAGTTTTCAAATTATTGATATCAAACATACTCTTAAAGACAATCAACAAATAACAACAAATACAAAAACAAACCAGTGGAGAGTTTTCTTTATACACATAATTATCAGTCACTTCTAGATGTGTTTGTTTAGAAGAAAATAAGTTTCAAAAACTTATTTTTCCTATTTTTCTTTATTTTTTGATGTTTATTTTATGTTTAGGAAAAAAATCAACGAAATTTGATTTCTAGTCAACGAAAATTAATAAACTATTCTGAAAAAGTGACTTCCGAATTAAAAAAGAAGAAAACATTTTCTCTCTTTCTCAAGTTGTCTCGTTCTCGCGTTACTCACTTCGCTCTCAACATATTTTAACAATTTTTTTTCTTTGTCTCCTTTTTTTGTTATAACAAATTAACTTTTAATTATTTCTTATCGGTTATTATTAATTATTTAATTATTTTTTCTCTATTTTTACTAACATTTAATTTTTTTAATTTATAAATATATTAAATATTCTTAAAAACCATTTTTATACCTTAAAATTATTTTTTATAATAAATATTTCAATAATTTATCTCTATTTTTCTTTTTTACCATTATCTCAAACATCATCTAAACTATACTTAAATGATTAAAAATGATTATTAAAAGAGTGCAATCACTTGTGAAAACATTGAAACTAATTAATTCATTAATAAATACATTATTTTTCCAATATTATTCATTTGCAACTAAATCAATAATTTGTAACTAATTTTAATCAGTTGTAAAATTTCGTTGGTAATTGTAGTCAATTATTAGTTACAAATTATTCCAACATTAATCTTTTGAAACCAAATGAATAATTATCTACAATGATAACTAATAATTTGTAAAACTATTTTTTAGACTAAATTATTAGTTCAATTTTCAAAAAAAAAAAAATCATTCTTAATTGAGTTACCAAAATAACAATGCTAGGATTGCTTAGAATTTTTTTTTATTAAATGTGAATATTGACTTGATTTTTTCCTAAGTAGTTTTAATGAATTGGTTTCATAGTAAAAAATATATATTTTATTTTTTGAATTTAAATCTTAGAGTCGGTAGTTATAAAAATTTATTAAATTTTTCTAAATGCATCTTATTGATTTTAAAAATATATTTTAAAAATCTTTCAAAAAAGATTTAGTTTCAATTGTAAATTGATTTTAAAATATTTCCTACATTCGAATGAAAAAAATTATGGCCCTAATGATATTTCAACACCATGAGTCTCTATCTCGATATATTCTTGATTATAACTTATGTTTTATGTTTTGGTACACCAACATATCACTAACTCATATGCTCTATTTTGTTAGCTTTTTGTATATGGACTATTATGGATGTGAGATCTTTTAATAATTTTTATATTATGAGATTATGAATATGTCTTGTTGAAGTTTGCTCAAAATGTGTTAATGTAACAATCATAGCCTATTTTTGTATTTCGAGCTTTTTGTATCAAACAAATGCCGGAATAGATTTTTCAGTAGTTTTTTCATGTAATTGCCAAACACTAGAAAATATATTTTTTTTAAAATAACTTCCTGAAAAATAGCTTCTCTAGAATTGTTTTTTCTATTGGAAGTTGTTTTTCGTCAAACAAATGGAGCCCTAAAGTAATCATGTCCAAGAGATATTTCAGCTTTTTGTATCAAACAAATGCCGGAATAGATTTTTCAGTAGTTTTTTCATGTAATTGCCAAACGCTAGAAAATATATATTTTTTTAAAATAACTTCCTTAAAAATAGCTTCTCTAGAATTGTTTTTTCTATTGGAAGTTGTTTTTCGTCAAACAAATGGAGCCCTAAAGTAATCATGTCTAAGAGAAAAAGTTGAATGACTTTTATACCACTTTCTTAATGAATGCTTCAAGCCATATATATATTACTTTTTTTAACAAGCACATATGCTCTTCTTTACCTTAAATAATGAACCCCTTTAGTTGATGCATATAAATCCTCTCCTCAAGCTCATAATATTGTAGAAAAGTTGTTTTGACATCTACTTGCTCAAGCTTTAAATCAAATAAAGCAACCATAACAACAAAGCATTGATGGAACTATTCCTTATTAGTGGTGAACAAATGATTCGGTTAACAAAAAACTAGATAGAACCAAACTAAATTATATATTTTAGTTTGGTTTTGAACTTAAATTTGTCAAATTTAAAACCAAACCAAAATTATTTCAATTCGAGTTTGGTTTTGGGAAAAAAAAATAATTTCGATCGAAAATTGAAATGAACAATAAAAAAAAATCCTAAATCCTAATCTAATTCTAAATCCCTAACTTCACTATTCACTTAATAAAATTTCAGTCACACACACCTAGTTCTCCTTCTATCTTCCTAACCTCCTTCGAGTTTCAACCTTAATTCCCTTCTTCTCCACTTCTCCTTTTATCCCTCATTCCCTTCTTTGTTAGTTCTCTTTCTATCCTTCATCCGTCCTTCTCCACCTCTCCTCTCAATTCCAATCTTACCAATTACCACCTACCATTTGCTCACTCCTCACTACCTACCTCTCTGTCATCTTCCTTTGATCTCACGATCATCGATCATCACTCATCGGACACCACCCATCATCATCTTCCTACTACTTAGCCACTATTCATCTCTTCCTCTACTCGAGCTCTCCTAATGTCATTATCTTTTACTTTTTTTTTTTTGGTTTTTCTAATAACAATAATTATTTATTAGGTTGTTTTTATCTAATTTTATGTGTTGCGAGTTTAGTAAGTTAAAGTGAATTTTTTCTACTTTTTTTTATCGAGTTTTCATACGCAATGTGATTTTTTTCTCTTTGGAAATTTGATTCTTAACATTGTTTTATTTTGGGTTTTAAAATTCTTACTATGTTTGCATTTATTAAGGCTTTTTTTTAGAAAAAAACAAATCTCTTCTCTTGGTCCGTCTCGCTTTAGTTATGGTATATGCAATCCCAAGCTCTTGGCAATTAGTTTTCTTTTGTGATTTACATTTTGGTTCATTTTTTTAGCATTTACAATTTCCCCCATATTTTAGGAAAGTTTTGTAAATATCTTGTTTGAGAAAATAGAAATGATTCTTCCTTATGTTATGTGATATTTATAGTATTCATTGAGCTATGGTAGATTACAAACTTATGATCTCGGGTATTGAACATTTCACTAGATTCATAATGGGTCCGAAAATCAAAGCATAAATTGTTTATTTTTTGGCATCGACATAATAATGTAGCTTAATCAGCCCTCATGTTCATATTTAGTTTAAT